TAATTAGATAACGATAATTATCGCGATATAATTTTCCTCGATAAACCGATATGAAGAGTTCGATAAATGTTCGATATAATTTTCGATAGGATCAGATGATCCCATACAGATGCGTTTACTCCGTCACACGAGCATTAAGTAGCGTTGTGAGATCCAGTGTGAAGCGTTTGAACTCAGCGATGAACACACATGACTCGGTGATTTAAACTAGTTTAAAGCCAAACAGGAGAAACACTGTGTGCAACGAGACAGTCAGAAGGCTTTTCAATCTACACGTCGCTATCATTTACCATGGATTTACTGTAGTAACACTCACTGTTTGACTGTATGGTATGCCACATGCACTGTAATATGTTATATATTAAATATAAAATTTTCAAATGAAAATAGCAACATGATCGTTTTATAAAGTATGCGTTCATATGTGTTGAGAGCTAGATTTTCGCTGGAGGAAACAGCTGTGGTGTGATGAGGGGTGAACGCAGCGAAAATTTTACAGTAACGTTAGATGGGAAACCGATTGCTCCCCCGTGACCTTTTGTAAACTGTATGTATGACAAAGAACTGCACAGATACAAATATTACAACAATCTATCGATAAACACACACCTTGTGTCCTCTGTTTCTGTTTGAGTCCGCTCGCGCTGCGCCGCCACGGTCTGCAGATTGAAGAGCACGCTGAAAGACGGGGAGGAGACGAAGTCTGCCGCCATTTTCATATGAAATTTAAAGTGGACTGACTCTGAGGCGATCACGAATTTGTTTACATTTTATGGAGCTAATCGCTATAGCCCCGCTAAAAATGGCCTAGCGACGCCCATGCTTCTTACGTCCATTTCGGAGAACCAGGACAAATATTTCAATTGATCGCTCAGGCATTTAAGTGGCACCGAAATGAAGCACCAAAATCTGCGTTCTGATTCGGTTCTAGTACATACCGGTTACATAGGTACCGGTGCCAATAGGTTTCGGTACCCAACCCTACACACACGTTAATCCCTCTATCAATAAGTGCGTTTCCATTACAGATTTGCTAATAAATTATAAATGTCAATTAAAAAAAACTATTGCGAAATGACAGCGTTTCCATTAACCGTTGTTATGCGACTAAAACATTATTTTTTTCCTCTTGACAACCGATGTTGGTATATATCGCAGCCACCACACTAGCCATTATTTTTAATCGAAGGAGACGTAGATGTGTATCTTTAGCAAAGCAGCATGGAGAGCTGCTTCTGGGGTGCTTCTGAAATGTGTCACAACATGACTGTATAAACACAAGCACTTAAGAGTGGCCGCGATCAGCTCCGGCGGCTGTGTCAGAGCCGTAATGCGCTGCAGATGTGTGCTGTGTAAATAAGGGGTTATTCAAGCATTAATAGCAAGGAAAGCCCTTATACTTGTGAGTGGCCATGTATGAGGTGTTTCTTGGAGGTTATAGTACATTGAAGAATGATCATGTGAATTTTACGTACACCAAGTAAGCTGTAAATGCAGAAAAAACTGTTTCCATTGGAGTTTTGCGAAATATTCCTTTTTTTAATTGGCTGAAAAACCACCTCATGTAAGCGTAAAAACTTTTTTGCAATATATCGGAGTTTTTGCGAAATTGACAAGTTTCAATTGGACGTATTTTCAATTCGCAATTTCAATTTGCGCAATTTGAAAGGTAATGGATACGCAGCTAATGATGCTTTATTTGTTATGTCTTAGCTGTCCGTGAAAACTTCTTTTAACTGGAATTTCAGACTTGTTGCCTTTGGAAATCAAGCATTTTTTGATGCCTGTATTCTTACCTCCAACTGCTGCAGTAGAGATTTGCCTTTCTTGTTGATTTCATTGATGAGAGTAAAGACTGCTATTTTTATCTCATGTTCAACCTTCTTATGCGTCTCAGAAACTTCTTTAAATCTAAAGGGAAAAACGGAACAAAATACATCACATTTTTTACATTAATTACTCATAAAACACAATCATTCAATCATGTCCAGGCACTTTTCTTTAATAGAAAAAACAAGTTAACAGACCACAGATAAAACTGATGGTAAATATGCAACAGAAGTCCTACCTGTTTTGCACCTGAGATACAGAAAACTCCACAAAGTTTCTTTTGTCTTGCAACTTAGTCATGAAGGCCTCAATGATGCCCTTCTGGTTTTGAAAGGCTTCTTCTAGAAACTGGTACCTACAAAAAAGAGGTGGTGGAGGTGAAGATTATCTTATATAGTGCGTGTATTCAGACATTTCTGGAGCTATAAACTGTCATCTGCAAGACTTAAATTATTTTTTATTTCTGGATGATCTATTCCTTTAATACCATGCTTTTGTTCTAGGTCTCTCTTCATTTAATTTATGATTAATAAACATAAAAAATGCTTTCATACAGTGCCAGATGATTTAATACAGACGAAGATGATCATTATGAAGATGATGATGATGGTGTGTGGTTACTGTAAAGACTTTTCTGGAGCTATAAACTGTCATCTGCAAGACTTAAATTATTTTTTATTTCTGGATGATCTATTCCTTTAATACCATGCTTTTGTTCTAGGTCTCTCTTCATTTAATTTATGATTAATAATCATAAAAAAAACGCTTTCATACAGTGCCAGATGATTTAATACAGACGAAGATGATCATTATGAAGATGATGATGGTGTGTGGTTACTGTAAACACTGTGGTCCAGCTGACCTGTGTTCTTTGTGTTCAAGTAGCTGGCAGTCTCTGCAGGTTAGAGTGTCACATGTCTCGCAGAAGAGCTTGAGGGCCTCTTGTTTGTGTACTGGACAGAAGACAGGTCTCTGGCCTGACGTCCCAACCGATTCTGCAACACAGAACCACCTAAGTCAAATTCATCTTTTCCTGCTTATTTCTTCCCCCTACCCTCTATTCTCCCAGTCTATGACTGCCATATGTTCTCATATGCCCCTTGCCAAACTCAATCAAAATGAGGGAAACTAAGTGGGTTAGCTTTAATGAAAACAGTGCAGGCGGAGCAAGCGACTCACTCAAAACTCTGCCTGTTTCCATAGCAACTGTACTACGATTCAGTCTGCTAAATGTGCAAAACAGATACTCCATAGCGTTGCTGAAAAATCCAAACTACAACAAGACCACTAGACCAAAGCTGAATGTTTTAGCGTAGTGAAAACCATCATATCGCAATTGAACATGCAAATTAATTAGCTCATAGCACATACCAGAAGATACTTCCTCTTTTTTGCGTATTTTATGGTCTTTAGTGAATTTGACCCGTTGATGTGCTTCAATGCAGGTTTTACAGAGCCACTCCCCACATTCAACGCAGAATCCAATGGCACTGGCATTATCTTCACAGCTGGTGCAAACCTGTTACAGAGCAAATAAATGACGACATCTCTTAAAATAATGACCAGAGGACTGATTTATTGACTTAAAACTAAAAAACTGATGAACAATAGCATGTAAGCTAATAAAGCAAAGTTTAATCCACGGGTGTGAATACCAATTGATTCATTGGTTTTCAATTTGTTTTAAAAGCAATTTTAATTAAATTTCAACAAAATTACTTTCTAAAATACATTTATGGTATATTTGCTTTAATTGCAATTTTAAATAAATTTGACTAACGCAAATTTTTTTGATTTAAAAGCCATTTCAGGACTAATGTCAAGATTTTTTAACAGATGCAGTAGTTACACTCTACTAAAATCAATATCACAGGGCTGGTACTGACCTGTGTAGAGTTCTCCACTGATGTGCTTGTGGCCTCTGAAGTGTCCTTGACAAAGTAATTGTCCACCATGTCAATCTGTTTGTACTCCTGATGACACACCGTGCAACGCATGACGTTCACTGCACAAAAACATGAAAAAGGAACAAAGAAAAACAACACAGAGTTAGAAAAGTCTGGAAACAAACAGAAGAGTGCTTCAACCTTGTATACTATATAGGAGAGTCATGCAACTATTTTTAAACAGTCCTCATTTGAATCCCTAGACAAAAACTGATATTACAGGAAAACAAAGTAAATAAAAAAAAGATGAAAATTCAATTCAATTCAATTCAATTCAATTCAATTAACAATGGCTTGGTTCAAAATATAAGTGTAAATCGTGTTGGTCCAGGAGTACATTTTTCAGGTTCTATTCCCAATATAATATATTTTTTTTTTTTTACATAGTGGGATGTTTGAATGACTAGCTGACTTTTCAATGTTCAGGAGGTCCTGGTTTCATGTTCACCTGACCCCAGGTCAGATACGTTTATTTAAGACACATTCTGGCATTTGTAAACAACTAAACAGAGTGCAACAGAATGAAACTTACTTGGACTAGTAGAGTAGCTGACCATCAAGACACATCTCTAATTGCTACGGAAAAGCTTTTACAACTAGAAAAAAATCATGACGAAAGTATTTTCAACAACAAGAAGAAAGAAAAAAGAAAAGATCTGCAGTGGTGATCAGGAATGTGATTAGACTGACCAATCAACAAATAAACTGGTGACTTCTTTCTGGCACAGTGTATAAACTTTTTTTTTTAACAACCTACAAGATACAAATTCATAGGCTTCAAGAGGTTTTTTTCTAATGAATACACACACACACTCATAAACCTTCCTATAGGGAACGTTGAATTTTTTACTGAGAGTGCGTAAGACATACACCGTAAATTAGTAATGCTGACTTCTTATGCATTTGAAATCCAAAAAGGGATTTTGATTTATCAATAATTCATAAGATTTTATTACCCATTATTGCCATCCGCTGCAGTAACTAAGAGTCAGCTCTTTGTGTGCGTCTTGCAGCAGCATTTCACCACAAATAATGATCTATTCATAAAACTAATTTAATTCTATCCTAATTTAATTTGAAAACATAGTGAGTGATTGAACACGCCCCTCCCCCATCCATCACATGCAACGCCCCCCACCTCTTTTCCCTGACAGCCCATCAATCCCCCCACAAAGCTACAGCTAGAGCCAGTCCAAACCGGTTTGAGCCAGTTTGCACTGGCTCATACTGCTTTCAGCCAGTTTCCCCTAAGCACCCAGCTGCAAAACCCCACTGATGATTGACTGGTGAGAGCAGCTGGAGACACACTGCACTGAAACACAGTGCAACTCACAGCTGAGTTACTCTGTACTGATATTAACGGGAGGCATTTATGCATTGCCTGAGGCACATCCATTCATATGCAGAGCCCTGGAATGCAATCAAATTGCCTTATTATTCAAAACCAAGGGTTATGAACCACTCTCTTTAATACTATGATACACTTAAATTATGTTTGAGATCAAAATGGGTGATTGTTAGATTTTACATTTTTAAGTTTATAACACAACTGATTTGTTAAGATTCAATCTAGCAAAATTCACAACATTCATATGATAGTACTAACATACTAGAGCACATTATGGAAATTCTGGCTAGTTGTGAGCTGTTAAATTTCATAAACGTGGTATATATTGACAAAAATGGGTTGCTGGTGTTTACATTTCTTTAGAAGGATTTATTTGCTCTGGACACCAAGGAAAGACTCCATGAAGTGTCTGAAAGCAAAGCAAACAGAGCAGACGGCTACAGTCAAGCTGAGAATAACAGTGTAGTTGGGCAACATGCTTAAGTACAACAAAGTGCTTGTTGAGATTCTACAAGCAGCAAAGTGCGTGTCACGCAGTTTTCTCAGTCAGTTACTGTGATGAGTCACGCTGGTAAACTCTGAGTTACCTCCTCCTGAACTTTAATTAAACGTCTACGACAAGACCAAAACAAACCTGGCAAGAGAACGAACCCTTCAATTACTGATCCAAAAAAATGACGAGTAAACTACCAAATAATGTAGCTCAAGTTTAGGGCATCATTTATACACACAAAAAAAAAAAAAGAAAAATTGAAAAAGAAAAAAATACTACAGAATGATGACTGTTCTGAAATTCGTAAGCTTTAGAAAATGTTGATCATCCACATTAGACCATCAAATTAAATATTATGAGTTGATATTTTATTTTTCATTTTGCATCCTTGTTATCAACATTTCAGAAATGAACGGTTTAAAACCATGACTTCCTTCAATAAAAAAAAATCAAATGTATACAATTAAAAAGCGATGGTAACAGGGTTGCAAACAAAACATTATTGGAGAATAATCCTAAATAACTCTCTATTCTATTTCTATTCTATCTACTTCTTTTCTTTTTATTTAAGAAACAAAATAAAACTTGACCTACTAACACTAGCATTCTCTATGCTTTTTATCATATCTCCTTGTTTTCTTTTTAATTACTGTCATAATAACTTGACCCTCTAACACTAGCTCTTTCTATCTACTTTTTATTTATTAGAAAAATATAAAAAATAAATGTAAATTACATTATCACAAAATTAATTACATATAAATTAGAGGTCGACTGATAGTGGATTTTGCCGATACCGATAGCTAGATTGGACCACACTGGCCGATACCGATTAATTAACAAATAGAATTATTATATTAATCATTAAAGTTAGCTCATAGTTTCATAGTAAATGAACAATGTGACAGAGATGAGTTTGAAGTTCAGTGTTTAAAAAAACAGACCAAATGGAAAAAGAAAGCGCAATCTATATTATAGCTCAATAAATGAAGCATACTTTCTTAGAGCCATAGAAAGACAACCGTTTAGCTGAAAAAATGAACAATACACAATTTTACAGCCTAGGGTGAAGTCATTATGTACATTAACAAGGATTTGGGACAAATATAATGTAATTTAATGGAAAACTATGTGAATGGCGCTGTGTGGCGTGGCAGGATTTTCCGTCGTCTGCATTTAAATCGACATCTGAAGTGTCCTGCACTGTGCAGGCTGCCGCAGCCTCACGTATCAAAACATACAACACGAGGTGTCAGTGATTTCCGCCACTAGAGGCCGCTCTCGCACTGTATAATGACAGCAGACCCTTCTCAGCCGCTCCAGCAATGGACGCAACCCGGAAAACTATCGGCATGGATTTTTGCCGATAACCGATAGTTCCAGCAATCAGCTATCGGTGCCGATTAATCGGCAAAACCGATACATCGGTCGACCTCTAATATAAATATTTGTTTGATCATTTTCCATACAATAACTTTGTTAACAGGACTGAAAGACTGAGCTTGATGAATTTTTAACAATTCGAATTAAAAAAAGAGCAAAAAAGCCTGTGATTATTTACTTGTTTTTGCCTATTAATATTAGTTAATAAATAAAAACAATGGATTGAATATAAATTTAAACCGAGTATGTCCCAAATCTGACATTAGCTATGTTTCCATCCAAAGATTCGAATTTAACTTATGCGCAAAATTGGAATATCGCATAAAACAATTGCGAATAAAGTACCGTTTCCATCCAGTGAGTCAAAGAGAGCAAAATCGTCACTTCCTGATAAATTGGCACTAAGTATCACCAAGAAAAGTAGGAGAAGCCACTTAATATAATAATTTTCATATGATAAATTACTTGCGCCTCAGAGCAAGCAGACGAAACGCAATAAATGCTGTCATTGCTTTCGGAGGTGGATGCCTGCTGTTTGGGAACATAGTCGTGTAAGAGAATTATACAGAAATACTGTGATGACAGACTTTGATTCATGTCTGTAATGCATTAAAAATGTAATGTGACACCCAGTGTATCCTATTCAATTAAAGCAAACAAACCTAAAAATACAAAAATATTATTTTTGTACAAATTTGTTTCATACATTGAACCGGTCCTCAATTTTAATACTTCTGTTCAGTGGAATGAACTTTTCTAATCTGATACACTGACAAAATATTCTGCAGTGTAATGAGCACTGATCTGATATGATCATATTGATCCGACCGCATTCAGTAATGACAGTGAAGAGACTGCTTAGTGAAGTGAAGAGGTTTAAAGATAAATTAAAGTCTTTGGGCTTATAAATATACATCAGTGATCCCATATATGGGCGAATAAACACAAAAAATGAAAATAGCTTTACATGCAGCAGCTAATACAGAGTT